TCTTCTACTTACCAGATTAAAAACATATATACTCTGTTTATTATACATATAATTAAATTTTCAATATTTTGGCCATCATTATTAAAAGATTGGTCAAGAATAGTGCCTTCCCTTTCTATTTTGCCACAACCAACCATCGCCCCAGTTGAAATGTATGACCAAAAAGTTATTTATAACTAATTTTAAGTAAACTACATATTATATATGCGATTTCTTATTGTATTTAGAAATGTCTTCTACATACATATGTTGTCCTTTGTATGACCTTTGCTGTAAAAATGTAAAAATTGTCCTTGCCATTAGACRCAATGCATATAGTACATTGGCAACAAACGTTTCTAACAATGAATAATCTATGATAACCTACTGTTTGTTCTGATGCTAAAACATTATATAGATATATGTATATATATATACATATATATATATATTAGGATATCCGTATATATAAAATAAGAACATTGGAAATTTTCTTAAATGCTACGATATTGCAAATATATTTCTTGCATTGAAAATAATATCTACGATTTGATGAATATACAACCATTGCTTTAAGGTATCCGAACTAAACGTATTTAGAAAAACGATTGGATTGCGTTATTTCATGGCTTGTGGATGTTTTCATTACAGGATAATAACAACAATAGTGGTGCGCCCGATGAGAGTAATTTGACACAGTCGCAGGCTGACAACGAAACTGAAGATAGTAACGAGGCGGCTGATGATACAGCTAGTGTAAGTTAAGATATATTTAAAGCTGCCTACGATTTTGGACATGCAAAAACGATTAGTAGCCTTGTATAAACGATGAACATACTTTTTTTTTGTATTTTCGTTCTTTGCTGTTTTCGGGCATTTCAAAGCATTAATTGAATGTTTTTGAAATCCTAAATAAAAGATAATACCAATATAATGTGCTATGCGCGTTCCGTAAGGGATAATTTCTTCTAAATATTWTAAAACTTTAGTTCATACGTATTATTACTGGTTTGAACATTTTGTATGTATAATTGAATGTAACTTGAAACGAATATTTTCAATACAGTTTGGATTCTTAAAGAGCAAGTGGGAGAGTGATACCACATCTGAAAACCTTGGTAAGTATTTGCAAATCATAAGTACACACTTAGATTTAAAAGTTAATGTATTATACTTTATTTTGGGAGAAATGCATAAATATGTAAATATGAAATGTAGTATAATGTGCTTTGCATTACATTTGATATAAATATGATATTTGAACCCAGCTCGTTTGGATGGCACAAACAAATTAATCCATCGGCGTAAGACTGCTACAATGGAGGATTACCTACAAATGGACGATTGGGAACCACCTAAAACCAGTGCGAACGGCAAAAAAAGGGTAATGTCTTTTGATTTTAGAATAAGTAAAAAAGAAATAACAAATGTGTTTTATTGATTAGGTGCGTTGGGCAGATATCGAAGAAAAGCGAGCGCAGGAGAAGATGCGTGCTATCGGCTTTGTAGTTGGTCAAACCGACTGGAAGCGTATGATGGACCCAAACGCGGGAAATCGTGCTTTGAATAAAACGAAATACATTGAACGTGTTAATAAAAGGCGATAGTTTGCTGGAAATAACACATGAGAGCAGTTATATATAATAATAGTAAAAGTAATAAACTCTTATGCATATTACTCAAAATTAGTTTAAAAACAGAACCGTAAATAAAGTTACAAACATAAAAATCGATTATTTAGAATCGACATCCAAAAAAGGATAATGTCATGTTGATCATTTTTCAACGATCTATACATTTGATGATTTTTGATGACTTTTTAACCGATAATGATTAATTTTGAGCAATTCTAAAATAACTCATTAGTCGTCATATTTCAGCAAAATATAATATGGATTTAATTTTTTTCTTCTTAAAATAAAACTCATTTTTATATTACACATTTTTTATGAATTTTTTGCTAACTTTCCTTTTAGAACAAATCTGAAGGACCTAATTTTTTCTATGGTTTTTCTCGTTCCCTTCCGCCCGTCTGAAAATTATACCATTTGTCCTTTGTTTGTTTTAAAAGGACATACGACAAATTCGGAATTTATATGCATTAATATAATTGTGAGTTTTATTTTGAGTGAAAGAAATAAAAATCATGTAGCATATTTAAAATTTTTGAAATTATTTTTTCTTCCAACGGAATGATCAACAGTGAAGAAAATCGTAAGAATCATTATATAACATTATTTTTTAAAATAGTACTTATAATTATTATAAAAATGTTTTCGCATTATACTTTTAAGTTTTGTTTAAAGCTATATTATGCTAATTTMTTAAGAAATACAAATGACAATTTCACTCATATATGTAATAGTTCTGAATTAGATTATTGGGAAATTTTAAAATAAACATTGAAAAAATAATTACAAGTGTTGATATTTTCAAAGATTTTTTTGTCAAACATGAAACTACAGATAAATAAAGTGAAAAGTAAGTTAGTGACGCAAAGAAAGATTAATGGCTATTTAGTTATAAGAGGTAGATATGCGATACCTGCTTTTATTTCTCTATTTAACATTTAACTCAATTTATCTGCGTAGAAACTTGATCGATTACAGCTCTATCAGCCACTTCACAGACTTATTTCTTCCTTAAACCTCTTAAACCTAAATATTCGTGGAAAGAATATAATACGTTAGTAGCAAGACAGTTTTAAAATAAATTTGAAAATACTTTGTGAGGGTTTCTTAAGCAGTGTAAAACATTTRCAACTATATATTAAACAAAATTAATGATAACAAGTAGAGCTAAGTTCGAGTGTCACCGAACATTTTATACTTTTGCAAATTGCAAGAATCAAACCAGGGAAATTCTATGTATAGGGTGTAAAATGTCAACCAGAGGATCGAACTTCAAGCAATTTTATCTATACATACATATACTATATGCATATAACTCATACACTGATCGAGATATTCGGCATACGGTTTGTTAGAAAAACGAAAATCATTATATCTTCTCCTAAAATGCAAAATAACGTATGCTCGAAAAATTCGAAATTGAATGTTTCATTGATTACTATCCACTACTTCAAATTACATACATACATATAAGTACATATGTCCAACATTTTAAGGTTCTGCTATAAGATATAATACAGTTTTAACCAATATTTAAGTTTTGTTTCACTCAGGTTCCATTTTATAACCTGTTTCATTGTTTCCCCTGTGAATTTCCGAAAATGTTGTTACGTTGTTTTGCATTTTAGGTGACGATATGTAGTATGTGGGAATAGCGGTAGTTTTAACCCGATTTACTTTAGAGGATCGTAATCACGCCGCCTTCTATTATAATGTGACATACTAAACACCCAATCGTATAAAGCAAAGTCAGTCGGGTGTTCGAAAATTCTGATATTAGTTATATAGGGGCTAAGTTAAGTTTTCGCTAAAATTTATCTATTTTAGGCATAACGATACAATAGTATGAGTAAAACACGCTCTCCCATATTTATTGCGATAGCTATTATTAGTATTGGCYGATATATATGGTACAAAGTCACCCGATAAATTTTTATATTAGATATATGGGGGSCCAGGGATAATTTTACATCGTTGGCCCGATTTAACCCATTTTTGACATACACACATACCATTATCAGGAAAAGATTATATCTGAATTTTAATTATATATCTCACACATTGACCAATATTTTCGATCAAAAGTCAACTATAGATACAGGGGTCCACATATTCGGTACCTAGGGGATTGAACAGTTTTTGTTCGATTTGAACAACTTTTGGTCATAAGATGGAAAGAATCAAGTATATTTTAAAATTGTGCCATATGGGAAGTAGGCATGGTTGTTATCCCATTTCGTCAAATTCGCGCTGTGACATAGATATAAAAGAAGAATGCCACGTACTAAATTTTGTCAAAATCGGTCGATCGGGTCCCGAGTTATGGGATTTCAACAAAAAGTGGGCAGTGACACACTCAACGTCCAATTTTCACACCGGTTTCCATAAACCCTCCTCATATTATCTTGGAGGTAAAATTTAATGTCTCTTTTTTAACAGCACTGTTATATGGGGAGCGAGCGGGGTTGTTTTCCGWTTTGATCCATTTTCACACTGGTCGAATATGGTTATTGGAGTTTTATTGGTTAAGGAGATACATACATATGTACATTAAACATATTAGACGGCTGGGCCATATGTGCWCCTTACTACTGCTATCCCCTGTGCCAAATTATAGTTTTATATCTTAATTTCGTCCTTACTTATGGCATTTTATAGGTTTTCGGTTAWTGGCAATTAAGCCCATCTACGAATTCGTATTTTTTTTTTGTACTAAGGAACCCGTATATCAAGTTTCATTATGATATCGTAATTTTTGCCCAAGTTACAACTAGCACGGACAACCCGACTGACAGTCACTCGGATTTCATCTTTTCTCGTCATTCTTTAATATGTATGTATATATATATATATGTATGTATATGCATATATATATCTATATAACCCTATATCTAACTCGTTTAATTTTAGGAGATATGTACAACTGTTAGGTTGTATAATACTCTTTAGCAACAGGTTGCAAGAGTATAAAAAAGGTGATTTTAGCTAATAAATATTTGACAATGTAACAAAGAAAAAAACGCGARTGCTAATTATACATTTCTTTTTCCAATCGGTAGGGAAGTCTTCTTTTATAATTTAAATTGAACTAATGAATTTACTTCCGCAAATGTATGTAAATGTCTAAAATAAATGTCTGAAATGTATTCACAWGCAATAGAAACAAAAGAAAGTCACCATCTAAATTCACCACTAACATGCGCCGACCAAACCTAAATCACCCCACATGSCACACTCACACGCTCGTGTGTGTTAGTGCGATAAGTGGCGACGTCAAAGGAAACCGTTGACCAAAACGAAGAGGAGCAGTTGAATGTCAACTCATGTTTACGACGCTGAGAGACTCCCGTTTCAGTCGAGTGCAAATTGTCAAATGCTACGGATGGAATTTACTCGGCAAAGGCAACGAATCGAAAACGAAACRCCTCGATGTAGTTGTGCTAATAAATAACAACAATARTAATAATAAAATATATAAATCGAGCTAAAAAAGAAAACCAAAAACAAATACAGTGAAGAAATAACGATTAAACACTAGTAGTAACAACGCCTAAAAATATACAAAAAAAATATTTGTGTACCCTTAAAATCGTGAAACGTAGCATAACACGCGATATTGTAAACAACATTAATATAAACAATACCAAATAACGTAGTTCTGTCGCAAAACTAGGAAGAATGTGTGCGGACCAAAGCCTTGATTTCAAGGAGAATTGAACAGCTTCGATAAAACGGCGTTAAACGCATATCTCGAATGTGAAAAGATAATGTGGAAGCATGTCTTCCCACTCCGTTGTATCACTCTCATCTTTTAATATATTATTTTTTACACAGGGTATGTTTACACTGACTCATGCATTTTATATAACTCCCGCAAAGGCTGCCTTGGGCTTTGTGCRTACGCCTTAACCGTGGCTAATAAGTATTGGTGCAGAAGTGTGACCGCATGCATGAAACATTTTGCAAAACATGTACATACATTTGCRTGAAATGCCGATGGCACTGCCTACTCCAATGGTCCGCTGGTATCGCTTACGCAAGTTACCAGTGCACCACTACTGGTACAAGAAAGCAGATTTTTTAGGGAGTCTCATTGATTTTTGTATCAATAATAACTTTATTTAGTATTCTAAACATGTACACATTACGATAGTATTCATTTGAGTAGTGTGTTATTTCCTTATATTTCTTTGATTATGAATAGCTAATTAGTAGTGATACGTTGCGTATACGTAACACATTTTTCTCAACAAATTTTCGCTTAATGTATCGTAACTTCAGATACACGCGTGCTAATTCAAGAAATGATAAAGTTCATGATTGCAAATACATATTTATTAAGGAAAAAAATTCAACTACATTTGCTCATAGCTTCTATTAATTTTTTATCCTCTTCAGTCACTCTAGCGGATCATTGAGATATATGTATGCCTTCTTCCAACAACAAACAATCTGTGTAAATGTTTTAAAAGTTTTGTGCGTATATAAAATATATACTAACATTTTAAAGTTTACTCCCTCCGTAATTGCTAAAAATTGAAATCGTTTTTGAAAGTACCAAAGCAGTCATGAACCCCACGTATATGTTCAATAATATAGGATAATGGTTTTCAGTATTTCAGTAAATTTCTATATTAAAATAGTTTCTAATGTAATCAATATTATTTACATACATAGTATATACATCTTCATTGCTTCCTTAATGCTGTGTTTTTAATTACACTTACGTACATACTTCGGTTTATGCTTATGCTAGTTGTCATACATATGTATGTATATACATACGCTCATCGCCAAATGCAATCTATCTAAGGCTTACTGAACTAGTTGTTTCTAGTTCTAAAATTTTATAATCTACTCAGAAAATATATTTATATTGATATAAATCTATTTACCACCAATGTACTGAGTGTGCTAATTTTGCATCCAAGATGTTACAAAACAGCCAATATCAAAATTGGACGATGGGAATGAGGGAATATTTAGGGGAAAACCCATATGTCGGGGTCAGCCCTTCCAATTTCAACCATAAGATTCATAAGTTTATCTTGATATTTCTATCTTATAGCGCGAAAATGAGCGAAATCTCATTACAACTACGCCTGCTTTCTATATAAGACAACTTTAGTTTCCATCTGATTCTTTCTATTTCTAATATAATGTCAAGCAGCAATCAATGCAGCGGGTGAAAACTTGCACGAAGAGAGTCGGAAGTCGGTGTGAAGTCAGAATACAACTACTCAAGCCGCCACATACCGAATATGTGAGAATGAGATGTTCGGTTACACCCGAAATTAGCAATTCTTTTCTTGTTAAATATTACGTTCGGAATAATTTCTAAGATAGTAAGTGCAGAAGAATTTTGTTCGATTAGAAAAGAAATATATAAAATATACGGCGTCGTTACCACAATATATACATAAGGGAGAAAATATATTCACCAGTTTGAGAGATAATATAATCATCTAATCATCCTAACTTATTCGTTTTAATTTTTGATTATACAAAACACACTGTTCGGTTAGAGGTTTTCCTAAAAAATTGTATGGGTAAGATATAGATAAGGGAATAGAAGGAAATGAATGCTCAGGAACACCTGTCCAACATGGGCATAGTCTCCTGTGCTAACTGCCGGTTTTGCAGTTTGCAGTGGAACAGGAAACACCAGCACACCTAATCCTGGATTCCATCTATATCAGCAGAGATCACATCACCTCAGTAGCGTCCGGTAAACTCCTGGAACTATTCAGGCTGCTGGAACTCTGGGAAGACATGTGATATAGGAGAGGGCACAATAGACCCTAGGTCGCGGTGCATTACCTCATAATACTATCTATCTATCTATGGATATAATAAAGATGTCTAATGTGTAATATAATATTATCGCTTCTTGCTGTTACTTTTAGATTTCATTATAATATCAATTTTGACAAAAAGTTAGGATTTACTGTTACTTTTGTAGCAATGCAGCACCAATGGCAGTTTTAAATCACTTTTTGTTTTATTTTTATTGCAAGTAATCTCAGTTAGTTCTTCGCTGCCGTATAAAGTATATGGCTGCACACACAAGTAAATGGTACGTAAATATGTATTCAAGTGGTTATCCAAGGTGATACCCTTTTGGCGATTCAGTTGACGCAATTGTTCACATTTTTTATTTGTTTGTGTTTTAAAGATATCTTATATATTTCTTTATTTTTTGTTGAGCGCCAAACACTTAAATGTGAAGAAGACTGTACATGTATGTAAATATATGTATGCTAGTACGAGGCTATGTCGGAAATTAGTATCAAAATCGTTTCCTTTAAGAAAAACAAGAAAAATACGTTAACTTCAGCTTCACCGAAGCTATAATACTCTTCAGACGTACATTTACAGCACGCAAAGATATAAAAAGATTTTTATCTCGATTTTGTTCTGCCAGTTTGTATGGCAGCTGGAGGCGGTAGTAATCGGATCTTAACAATTTTTTCGAAGGTTTTACCGTTGATTGGATAGTAATGCATGTTAAATTTTGTGAAGTTATCCTGTCAAATAAAACAGTTTCTATACAAAGACTTGATTTTTATGGGCCAGTTTGCGTGGCAGCTAAATGCTATGGTGCTTCGATATTCCGACCAATGAGCAGCTTCTTGAGGAAGAAAGGAAGTGTGCCAAAATTCATATCGGCATCTCAAAAACTGAGGGTAGTCCCCGGAGTTCGCGTATATACAAAGAAATCGAATCTACTCGTCACGCAGTTCATATGTATATACATGTGAATGTGTATATTTACACTCTTTAAACTATCCAACGTTTCTTTCTATCACAAACTTCGTGGCCAGCATAATATAACCTATTTACGGTATAAATACCTATACATTTTTTTTATAAAAGTAGAGTAAGTTTTGTAGATCTTCATGAGTGCCCTTTTACCTTGTTCACATAAGGATATACGACCTTGGTTATTCTATATGGGCATAATTGCTTTTATTTTTTAATACATATTATTGCTCAACATTTTCTAGAGTTCGCTACATTTTTTTTACCTCTTTAATAGCCTACAAATATGAGGGATGCATGAGACTATCCGAACTGTCCTGTTCGAGGAAGTGTGTTAATATTTTGTAAACATTCCTGTTTTTGTTGACTTCCGCAAACATCATTCATTTCCCATATTTATCTTGTGACTTTTCCTTAGCAACAACCTTCAGATACACGCTTTTGAACGTTTCTTGTTTTTCACAACTTCTGTCCAAGCACTTATTCTGCACACACACGTAGAAATGTACTCATGCACCACACACAATAGTCAAAGAGCTACTTTTTATACTTTTGCCACATGATGATATACTCTGTTATATTAGTATTTTGTTCTCCTAACGGTTGTATGTATCACCGAAAATTAATCAAGATAGATATAGAGTTATTTTTAGGATGGCGAGACGAGTTTAAATCCGGGTGACTGTCTGTATGTCTGTTCGTCCGTGCAAGYTGTAATTTGAGTAAAAATTGAGATATCGAAATTAACTTGGTACACGGGTTCCTTGGYAAAACGCCAATAACCGAAAACCTATAAAATGCTGTAATTGGGAGTGGGGATATCAGTAGAAAATTTTAAAAGTGGGCGTGACCCCGCTCTCTAAAAAGTTTAATGTATATATCTCTTAAACCACTTAAGCTACAACAGCCAAATTCACTTAGCGCAAATATTATAGGAAGTCCTACCGACCGTGTGAAAATTAATGRCACTYCTTATATAACGGTACTGTTAAAAACTACTTAAAGCGCGATAAAACATAATTAAATTTTATTTTACCCGTCAGAGGGTTTGAGGGGGTTTTAATAGAACAAGGGAACCATGGACGTGGTTTGCACCCACTTTTAGGTGCAAACACACATATCGAGACTCACCCCACCAATTTCAGCCAAATTTGGTAAATGGCATTTCTATGACATTTTTAKGTTACAGTATGAAAATGGACGAAATCAGACTACAGCCACGCCTACTTCTTATATAACACGATTATAAATTCAACTGATTCTTTCCTTGCGAGTATACAACAATTTATTTAAGCGGATAAAGCTTTCCACGAAAATTGCTATTAGATTTCTTGATAGTAGTATATCTGTGTGCTACAAATGGTTCGAATGGGGTCAATACTGCCTTTAGCCCCCATATGCCTAATATAAGGATTTTGGAACCTCCGGATGATATGCCGACCAAGATTTGAGTYATCTTACAAAATCGAAAGAGCGTGTTTTTCTTATAGTGGTGCATATTTGTKCTTCGAATGAATAAAATCGGCGGAAAACTCGCCCTAGACCAAATATAACTAGCAGCCCTTTTGTACCTGAAGGTACTTCCCAGTATTTAAACCTTGAAAGTTGCAAGAGTATGAAATGTTYGGTTATACCCGAACTTAGCTCCTTCATACTTGTTATTTATACATACGCACATATGTATGTATATACGAGTGTATACGCTCCTACTTGGTTGCCGCTCAATATGTTCATTTTGTTAAAGTGTGCAAGAAGTTAACACTTTATGAATGAATAAGTGAACGAATGCTAATCTAACTTAGAACAAGTAAGGAAGGGCTAAGTTCGGGTGTCACCGAACATTTTATA